AAACCCTCACTCTTTCCTCTGGAAAGCTGCATCCAGAGCTGGCTTTGGCATCCTGACAAGCCAGTACACAAAACAGATGAGCAGCTTCCTTCTCCAAAGAGGGGACAAAAAGGAATCAGGACAATCCCTCTTGGGAAGAAATCCACGCTGCATTAAAGCTGTAATAAAATATTAAGGCAAACTGCTAAAAATACACCCAGAGATCCAGCTGCCAACTTGGAGATGCTGAAACAAATATAAAGTAATCTGGAGCATGAAGGCAAAGTGTTGGGAAATGGGAAGAGAAATGGAATTCTAGGCACGATCCACACAGAGGAGGGATTGGGGGAGAAAATTAAGGAATTTGTGGTGTTGCTAGAAGAGCCTGGAAGAGTTCTGGTGGAGTGAGAGTATCCTGACTGTAAGCAGAAAGCAGAACAAGGGACAAAATGTGTGTGGAGGGAAGGTAAGATTGGAAAAGAGTTGTTTCACCACCAGAACACCTTTCATAAGCTGTAGGTGCTTCTGAGCCCAGGAGAAGCTGCATCATTCCCAAAATTCCAGAGGACAGAGGCTCTCCCCAGAAGACCAACAAACACCACCCTGGAAGAGCAAGCAAGTCCTTGACCATCAGAATCAGGAGGAAAAAGCCAACTGTTTTTCCTGCACCAAACCGTTAATATTTACACTCTGGCTGGAACAGCGAGGCCTTCACAGGAGAACAGGCACAGGCTGCACATTTAATAAATGGGGTTCCAAGGATTATTTGATCTAAATGGGATTGTAAGAATTTTATTTTGATAAAACAAAGCAGCAAAAGCCTTTTTTTTTTTTTTTTTTTTTGTCTCTAAAAGGAGAAGGTTACCATGTTAACACCTGGGATGCAGTCACCCAAACACAAATATAATTACTACCAGGAAATACTGAAATATCTGCTGATTGATACAGAGATTTTGGAAGGATTTTAGGACACTTTCTACCAGACACATATCAGTCTGTACATAAAAAAAAAAAAAAAAAAAAGCTCCTTTCTCTTCTACTTTGCACACACTAACACCTGTTGGAAATACAACAACATCAAGAGCAGCTGCTTCTCCCTGATCTAAAGGACAACACCTAATAATGTGTATTAAATTCACCAAACACAACCCAAATTCCTTGGAGGTTTCAGGAGCAATGGCAGTGCTGAACCCCATGGCATGAGCTTGGCGGTACCTGCCAGGTTTTAGTGCTTTTCCACTGAAATAATTCCAACCACCACCACCCATCCCTCAGCATCATCTACGAAATGAGCTTTTCAAACTCCCTTGCTCAACCTTGAGGCTCAATAATTTCACCTTGACACCCTTTTCGTCCTCCTGGTGACGGGGCAGCCTAAGTTTAGCCATCCAAGCCTTTGAAATATGTATGTATTGTGGTTATTACAGATCTTGAAAGGTATTGTGGGCAACCACTCTGCTAAATGAGGTGTTTTCCTCAGAGAAAAAGCTTTTCTTGTGTGTGGGGGGAGCATCCCTGGCAGAGTCCAGCTCTCCTGCTACAGCCTCAGTTCCTCTCCAGAGCTGCACAGATAGAGAAGATGGGAAAAAAATCACCAGCATTAGGTCTCACCTCCAGTGAGAACGATTTAATAAGTGGAGACAACTGGAGCAGGGGGGGTACAGAGTTCTAACATGACTTGCCAGTCCAAAAAGGAAGGCAGATGTGGGAGCTGGGGTCGGAACTGCTGAGTTCCTACTCTGTCATTGCTCTGCTCAGCTGTGAGTCAGAACAATTGCACAGAGGGGTTTGCTTTAGTGCTGAGCTGTTCATACAGGAGGTGTGCAGGGAGCACTCAGAACCTCAGGCTCCACCACAGGGGTGCAGTTTTGGTGCTGCACATCAGCCAGCACTGAGGGGAGGAAGGGAGAGAGGGAGGGAGGGAGGGAGGGAGGACACTCAGCTCCCTCTTCGCACAAACACCTCCCCTGAAGCAGAGCCCACCTCACCACGTGCCAGGACTTCCTGCCCGTGCCACATCAGCATCCTCTCCACCTCCTGCCATCCCTGCAGCTCACGTGTTCCATCAGCAGCCAGAGCAGCCCTGGCACAGTTTAAATGTCTCCTGCACCAGGCAGAGGGGCCCTGCAAGAGCCAGAAGCTGCTGCTGCCTCCTGGCACGACATCCTCAGCCATCTGCACGGCCAACATCAGGAGTGATCCCAAAAGCAGCTCTGGTTCACCTGCCACAGACCTGATCCAGCCCAAGGCCAGCAGCTCAGCTGCTCTGACACACAGAGCCAACAGGAGCTATTCTGGTAATTCAGCAGGAGCTCCTTGGCAACCAAGAGTGCCAGATACCCTGTGGCTCACCAGTGTTACCTGCCTGGGTGTGCTGCCATCCACACAATCTTTTTTCCTCAGTGAATGGAAGGCCTAAACCATCATCAAGGTAGCTTCAAGTGCAAGAATACGACAGCACTTCCTGCCAAAAAACCGGGAAGGTGATAATAGAGGCTGTAAAAGAAAAGCAAGGATGCTGCTGTGGGAAACTTAAAGAGATCCAGGCTACAGACAACCACTGCCTACTCCCATTTCTGCAGCTATATTTGTCACACCCAGAACGGGGACACAGGATTCCTGGGATCTGTGCTGCCACTGTCATTGTCTGCTCCCTGTGTGGCTCCACACTCGGTGACAACCTGAAGGAAGTGTGAGGAGTGTTCTGTGAGGAGCCCGTCCTCCAACACCCCCCATCCCACACCTCACACAGCAGCATTTCCTGCAAGAAGCCCCTTTTCCTCGTTGCTGGCAGAACACAAATCCCACAGAACTGAAGAACACATTCCCTAAGAGGGGATCACCAGGATTCGGTCTCACGTGGGAGTTCCAGATGCAGCTCCCAGGTGACTGGTTTGCTCAGGAGCTCCTACCTGAGCCATGAGACAAAACAAATGCCTTCAAGGATTAGTACCACAAATAATATCTACTTCGAAGCTGTTCGGTAAATCATCTGGAAAGATCCTAAAAGCTGAGCAGGAAACAATAAATAAACATTTGTGGCCCATGAGAGGAGAGAAAAGCTTGAGGTTGGATTTGGTTACTCTGTGTTTAGAGCTCAAGAACCACCACACAGGGATGGCCAGAGCTCAGCACAGCAGGGCTGCTCTTCACAAACACCTCAGAGCCAAGAGTGATTCCAGCTGCCTCTGAAGCTAAGTTTTAACGGTGGCATGAAGATTTCTGAGCCATTAGTGGCATCCAAGCCCAGCAAATGGGCACCTGTTCTACAGCATGTGTAGCTTCTGAGCTCACTGTGCATCACTCCTGCCTTTGCTGGGTGCTCACACTTCACAATTTCCTCTCAAAATTCCTCCCCAGTTAATCAAGCTCTAATTCATCACCGCTCACTCCCTTCCAGATCAACCCAATTCAACTCCACTAAGAAAAAAAAAACATCTGCTTACGTGAGTCTGTGTTCCTGACAGCAGAGCTTAATTATGTTTTACTTGTCCCCAGGATGCCTTCCAGCAGCTCATCTTCCCCCTTTCCCAACTGTTTCCAGGAAGGAGGTGCACTGGCAGCAGAACATGCCCAGGGAAATGGGAGCAGCAGGAAAATCTCGCCCAGGAGTCACATGAGGAGTTACAACAGCGAATGGTGCAGGACAGCCTGGTGACTGCTTCCATTTCCCAAGGCAGGCCTTGTGGCCGAGCCAGATGCTGGAGGCTGAAGGCAAAAAGAAGCAAACACGGTGCAATTCAGGAGGATAAATGTGTGTACCCATCTCAAGGCGGGGGGGGAGAATTAAGAAGCCCTTTTGCCACCTGCAATTTTAAGTGGCCTGCCAAGTCCTCCAAACCACAACGTTTATTCATCTTTTCGAACTCGGGGGGGGGGGTTTCACTGAGATGAATCCACCTCAAAATTGTGGCTGAAGGTAAATCTAGAAGCCCCCTGGCACGTGGCAGACCCATCAGGAGCCCACCTTGAGCAGACAGGCCCATCCTCCACCCACACACCCCCAGGAGTGAAAGGCTTGGGGCCTGATGGAATTCAGCTTAAATGGGTTCCAGAGAGCAAGGTTTCAGTAGACTGGGAAGCAGCACAGCAAACAACGAGCAGGCGTGATCGTTTCAGTTGGTAAGTGAAGAAATTCACAACCAAGACCCCCAAATTCCAGAAGAAAAGGGGTGCAAGGCCTGACCCTGCATCATTTAAGTCAGCTTAAGCAAGAGAGGCGTTGAAAATGAGATCAGAAACAACTCTCTGTGCCCAGTGGGACTCTCTGGGGGAGACAGGGCAGGAAGATTCCCATTGAGCTGCTGAAAACACCTCTCCACTCACTGACCAACTGCAAAGTGTGTCTTTTTGGCTTCCCTGTAGGTAGAACAAGGAGAAATCAGAACAGTTGTGGTGTGGTGACAGTGAGAAGCACCACGACCCCCTTGGAGGCAATTCCCACCTCCCAGCCGGGCTCTGCCTGCACCCAAAGGATCAGAGATGGCTCCTCTGGCTTCTTATCAAGGGGAGAAAAAGATTGTGCAAATCAGAGTGTGCTGCATCTCCCCTGTATCTCTCCTTGAGGCTGCACGGGGCTGACGCTGAAGGCCCCAGGCCCCAGTACAGGATCCAGGACATTCCTGCAGCTTCTCCAAGGCCAGAGTGGAGGCCAACACGGCAACTCGGAGATTCTGAACCACAGAGTGGTTTGGGTTGGAAGGGATCTTAAAGCTCATCTCGTCTCACCCCCTGCCACGGGCAGGGACACCTTCCACCAGCCCAGGTTGCTCCAAGCCCCGTCCAGACGGGCCTTGGACACTTCCCGGGATCCAGGGGCAGCCACAGCTGCTCCGGGCACTCCCTCCCCGGGTGCAAGGCCGGAAAACCCGTAACACCCCACACCTCCGGCACCAGCGCTCCCGGCAGCAATTCCTGCCTCCCCGGCCCTTCCCCTCGCGTGGCCGGGGCGGCTCCGAGGGCGCAACCCCCGACACAGGTCGCGGCTCCCCCGCCCGCCCCGCGCCCGCTCCCGCACTCACCATGGCCGCGGCGGCCCCGGGGCGGCTCTAGGCGGGGCGCCGCGCTCCGCTCATCTCACGGCCGGCGGCGGCGGCGGCCCGGCGGGGCCTCCTCCCCGCCCATGCACCGGCGAGCCCCCGCCGGCCGCGCACCCGGGGCACCGCAGAGCCGCCGGTGCCCAGCCCCCGGGCCTGCCTCGCTGGCGGTATCGGGGAGCCCCGTGGCGGTGGCGGTGCGGTGTGTGCCGGGTGTGTGTCTGTGCCGGTGCCGCCCGTGCCGCTCCGTACCGGGACTACCCGGGGCGCATCCCGGGCCCGCCCCGCCCCCCCCCCGGAAGCGCTCACCGGGCGCGCGCGCGGCCAATCACGGCCCGGCCGGAGGGGGACAGCGGTGGCGCATGCGCACAACGGGCGCGGCCGCGGCGCCGCCATCTTGGAAAAGGTCGCGGCGCCGCGGAGGGCGCGGGGAGGGGGCGGGCACGCTTGGCCACGCCCCCCCGCGCGTGAAGGGGTGGGGAAGGCGCATGCGCGAGTTGCCCTTCCCGCGAGGCAGCACGGGGGCGCGTGGATTGCGCGCGGAGGGGGGAGGAGCCAAGGGCGGGGCTACGGGGGGCGCGCGCGGAGGGGGCGGGGCTTGGGAGGGGATGGGGTGGGAGGGGAGGGGAATGGGATTAGAGAGGATGGGATGGGGATGGAATGGGTAAAAATGGGATTAGTGGGGAGGGGATGGGACCTGGACCCGGAGCTGGGCCTGAGCCCTGGGCTAGAGCTGCTGCCAGACCTGGCCCTGGCCCTGCCCTTGGATCTGTGCCTGGCCCCGGATCCACAGGGATCCGCTTGTGCTCCCAGCTGCTCCTGAATCCCTCCAAGGATACTCTGTGTATTCGCTGCGTTCCTTCCCGTGTAAATAATTTAAATAATTAAATTAACTTGGGCGGGGGGAACCCCCAACCCTGCCAGCCCCACTCAGCAAGGACAACAGACAGAGCTGCACAGCCCACAATCCCATTCCTATTCCCATCTCCCAGGTTTGCCTCAACCTGGAGCTCTTCGTTTTCCAGTGCCTGATGTGGCCGGGAGAGAAGATGTTAAGGGAGAGATCCAGATCCATTAATTCAGTGAATTAATGTTAAATAAAGAGAAATCCGGTCCCCGACTGCTGCCTGACAGAACCAAGAAGCTGGGACCGCCCACAGCCCCAAAACAATGAAGTTAATGCAGATAAAAATATTCCTTTGGGTTCCCAAACTCTCAGTGGCACCTGCAGTGACAAGAGGTGGCTCAAACCAGCGGCTTAACCGGCTTTGAGGGGACAGCCAGTCCCCCTGTGGGGACATTGCAGAGGCTGGCACTTACTTTAGAGGATTAAACACCGGGAGGAGGGGGAATAAACCCTCCCTGGGGCTGGAATTGTCCCCAGGGCTCAGCAAGCAGCTTAGGGCTGAGCAGTCCTGGGGCCTCCCCACGGCGCATTTTCTGTCACGCAGGTTTTATTTCCACGCTCTCAGCACAGCACTGACACCCCCCCCAGGGGCCAGGCATCTCCAAACCCCCTTTAAACTCTCCAAAATCTCTGCAGCATCTCCAGTACTTTTCCAATACCTCTCCAACATTTCTTCCAGTGCCTCCCAAACCTCTCTGACTCCTCTAAAACCCTCCAATATCCTCAAAATCTCTCCAACAGCTCCAAAACCCCTTCAACATCTTCAAAATCCCTTGAGCATCTCTAAAACCTCTCCAGTCCCCTCAAAATCCCTCTAACGCCTCCAGAACCTCCCCAACGCACCTCCAGAACACTCCAGTGCTTCCAAAACCTCTCTGAAACCAATCCAACACTTCCAAACCCCCTCCAGTCTCTCCAGATCTGCTCTGTCTCCAGAACCTCCCCAAAAGCTCTGCAATGTTGCCAACGCCTCCCGAAATCCTCCAATGGCTCCAAAATATCTCCAGCCTCTCCAAAATTTCCCCAAAAATCCTCCAGCGCCTCCAAAATCCCTCCATCACCTCCATACAACTTCCAACCTCTCCAAAATCTCTTCATCACCACCAAAACTTTTCCAATAGCTCAAAAACTTTTGCAAAATTTCCACCCTCCCCAAAACTTCTCCAACATCCCCAAAACTCATCCAACACCTCCCAAATCTCCACAACACCTCCAAAACCCTTTCAATAACTTCAAACCCTTCTGACTCCCCCCAAAACCCCTTCAAAATCTCTCCAGCACCTCTAAAACACCTCCAACCTCTCCAAAAACCTCCTCCCTGTCTCCAGAGCCTCTCCAAAACTTCTCCAATGCCTCCAAACCCCCTCTGACACCTTCAAAACACCTGCAACCTCTCCAAACTCTCTCCAACACCTCCAGAACTTCTCCAAAGCTCCCCAAAACCTCTTCAACATTTCCAACACCTCCAAAACCCCTCCAATACCTCCCAAATCCCTCTGACTCCTCCAAAACTCCTCCAATACCTCCAAACCCCTTTCAAAACCTGTAAAACCTCTCCAGCACCTCTAACCCCCCTCCAAGCTCTAAAACCAAAAATCTTTCCAGTGTCTCCAGAACCTTTTCAAAGCTCTTCAGTGCCTCCAAAACTCCTCAGACGCCTCCAAAGCTCCTCCGCCCCCCCCCCCCCGACTCCTTCAAAACCTCCCTGACATCTCCCAAATCCCTCCAACGCCTTTCAAAACTCCTGGCTCCTCCACCACCTTTGCAATTCCCGCAGGAAGCCGAGCCCAGGTGTGTGCCGTGCCCAGCAGGAGTTGTGGAGCGAGGCTGGAGCTCCTGGATGTGCCACCTCAGCGGGGCTCCCGTTTAGGATCGTCAGCTGTGCCGGCACCGTTGCCATGGCGATCATTACCGGGATAAGCTCATTATCACCGTTTGTCATTCCAGCAGGGCTGGACACGCGCCCCGAGGTGCTGGGGACACCGGGGACACCGGGAACACCAGGGACACCGGGGACACGCATCTGCTGAGCCGGGACAGCGGCTCCAAAGCCAGGAGGGGACCCACTGCTGCCACCCCTCCGTGTTTTTGGGGTCTCCAAAGCAGGAGTGGCCCCTGGGCTGGGGTGGGAGGGATCTGCAGGCACAGAGCCAGCTGATGAAACTAAAAGGAGGAAGAGAACCTTCTGCCAAATTTCTGGATCCCTACGGGGAGATTTAATCCCTATTCTTATTTTCCCTGAGAAGCCCAAAGGGGTGGGACAACTTTTAGGGCAGGATGTGGGGCTGAGGGTGATTGTTGGAGCTTTGCAAGCCTTTGTCCTTGCTTTGTGCCCCAAGGCAAAGGGATCACAAAGCATGGAATGGGTTGGGTTGAACAGACGTTAAAGACCATCCAGCCCCACCCCCTGCCATGGGCAGGGACACCTTCCACCAGCCCCGGTTGCTCCAGGCCCCGTCCAGCCTGGCCTTGGACACTTCCAGGGATCCAGGAGCAGCCACAGCTTCTCTGGGCACCCTGTGCCAGGGTCTGCCCACCCTCACAGCCAGGAATTCCTTCCCAATATCCATCTAACCCTGCCCTGTGTCAGTGGGAATCCATTCCCCCTTGACCTTATAAAAAGTCCATCCCCATCTTTCTTCCAGGCCCCCTTTAGACCTTACAGACACAACACAGTGTCCCCAGTGTCCCTGTGCCTCACACAGGTAATAACAGGGCTCACACAGTCCCATCAGTGACTTTGTGGTGTTGTAAATCCACGAGACTCAGAGGACTCCACCTGCCACCAGCACCACTGGAGCGTGTCCTGGGAACGAGGCCGTGCCAGACCCTGGGGCTGCTTTATCCCATTTCTGGGCCTCTGCCCATTGCTGCAAGTGATAGGAAATATAGAACTCACCCCATCACTGAGTGTGGCAGCCCCCATTTGAGTTTGTGACTCCTCACTCCTCAAACTGGGAGGCAGCGTGGTTTGGACGAGCCCCTAGGAAGGAGAAGTCATCCTCCTTTTTTTGTTTATGTAACTTTATGTTTTAAAACACAGAAGAAAGAGAAATACTGTGGAGCCTAACAGCTGTTTTGGGAGATCAAGGGAACGGGATTTGGGAAAATAATTTGTCTCTGCGTGGTTTATATCACTTAATTTTTATTACAACCAGCCGCTCAAATGCACTGGAAGGTGATTTGAACCCCTCTCATCCAAGCTTCCTGCATGGCTCCAGCCTTGATTGCAGCCCCTTCAATCCCACACTCAAATATTCATCACATTTAATTGCTTTATTCCTGTTTTGCAGCATTTGGGTTTTTGCCTTCGGGGTGAGTCTGAGCCTCACGCCAACCCCGCAGCCGGCTGTGCTTCCCCTCCCATCCCACCTCTCTGTTCCCATCTCCTTGATTGTTCCCACCACAAACCGAGCTGCAACTCATTTGGAATGCCATGGATAAATGAGCATTTTACTGCCCTGCCACCTCACGTGAAGTCATTTGATGAAAAGGGTTAAGCTGTGTTTTGTAAGTCCAATAAAGCGGCTTGGAAAAGTTTTGTCCGCGAACCCCAAGCGCTCCCCGTGTCTCCCGAGTGCCTTGGCAAGGAGTTTGGCTTATTTAGCACGAGGTATAAGCCCAGCAGGTAAAATCCCTGAGTACAAATTCCTGCAGAAAGTACAAACGGGGATAATTAATTACATAAACCCACCACAGCCTGTGCTCTGGGCAAGAGGTGCTCCCCAAAATGCCTCTCCCCAGAACAGGTGTCCATCCTCCTCCACCTCCTGTCGCTCAGTGTGAGGCACAGGAACCCCCAGCCTGGTGTCCCAGGGATGGAGAGGGGTCAGCTGGGGCTGTTATCCCACACCATCCCACATCCCTGTGCTGGGCACACTGGGCAGGACCATCCAGGGTGGCCATGGTGGGCAAGGGACCTTTGTGGCCACCACAGCTCCTGGCCAGGTCCTCCTGCCTCCTGCTTCCCTCCCCACTGGGGTTCAGCTGGGACTGTGTGGGTGCTGGGTTTTTGGCACACAGATTATATCCCTAGGAATGGCTTCCCAAATCCCATGAAGGGCAGCTGCTCCTACACTGGGACCAAAGAAGCCCACGGGTCAGGGCACTGAGGATGTCTCCAAAGGAGGAGGTGTGGGGGAGCACTGGCAAGAACAAGCTCCAGGCAGGCTTTGTGAGTCACATGTTTTGTGTGTATCTAAAAGGGAGCCCTGGAAATTCATCCCAGTGTCCTT